CTTAGGTGAGATGATGCTCTCACAGCTGTCAGGAGTCCTGAGAGCACAGGGCAGTGGTTCAGCGCTGGCTGACAGGAACTGTTGCCTTGATTCTATCAGCAGTTCTGTGAAGAAAGATGTGGCTGTCCAGAGAGATTCCAGTCCTGGGCAGTCTAGGGGCAGTTCTACTCTGTCGTGGAATGCTGTGAACGCCGTCCATGCAGGCAGCCCTCTGGAGGCGCAGCTGTTCTCACTGTGCCCAGCCTCTCAGCATAGCAGAGGCTTCAACTGCCAACCGACAGAGAATCCCGGCCCAGCCAAGTTGACACAAAACCTAGCTAGCACAATCCTTTACCTGGTTTTTGTGTGGTTCACAACCAAATCCGTTTGTCAGAGACTCGGGTTGCATTAGGCTGGGCTGTCTAGAGAAATGAAACCAGTGATAAGCAGCGAGGTATAAGAAAGGACTTTATATCAAGAAGGCTTCTCCGCCCAGTCCGACTCAAGGTCTCGGGTCCGATGCTAACCAGAGCTCTCAGCCAGGCTCACGCAGCTGCAGCCAGTGAGCCCGCAAGGTGACTCTGGAAGCAGGGAGATCACAGATGATGGCGCAGAGGCACAGAGATCCAAGGTCAGTGGAAACAGCAGGGCAGGGAGCCAAGAGCTCCCAGGTTGGTTCTCAGGGTCAGCGGCCCACATGAGGCCACACCCCCACGCAGATATCACCAGGCCACTACTTGATTGGTAGGTTGGACTCCACCCCACCTAAGAATCTGCCGGCCACCCTGGTGGAAAGGTCAGTTGGTTGTGGATCTAGAGCTTTGGAACAACCTGATTCGGCGGGGACTGAAAGGAGCTGAAATGTGAACTGGCACCTCGCTTCAAACGTCCCCGAGTGCCCCTTTTCTTGGTTTCTGTCCTCTTCGGGAAGGCAGCCTCGCTGGCACTGGGATGGGCAGGGCATTCTGTTGCATCCCTTCCAGGCACGAGCATTTCTGCTGAATCTTAAAACTGTTCTACATCTTTCCACAAGGAACGACGGGGACATGCTCTGAGTGCAGTCAGTGTCGGCTGGCCCCGGGGAATGTGCAGGATACATGGCCCTCGCAGCCTTCCCTGACCACGGCACCCACCTCGCCACTGGCTGCCTGGCTCCACCCGGACGGCTGACGGGCTCTTGGGCCATGGGCAAAGAACCAGGATGCCAAGAAACCCAACCACTCGTGGACGCCTCCTGATCCCTCTGGTTCTCGCCATTCTACCTCGGAAACAGGCCTTTTGTAAGCGGGGATGTACAGGCTGTTGGCGGGCCACCTTTCCAGCCTGTCATCTTTCAAAACGTAACCTCAGCTTTAAAGAGGTTCTCGGGCAAGACCTCTGAGAGAGCTGTTGAACCCACCAATGCCCAGAGAAACGGTTGTCACCTTTGTCCTCACGTGTAATTTCGGGAGTAGAAATAGCAAGCACGCAGAGGTGTGTGTGTGTGTGTGTGTGTGTGTGTGTGTGTGTGTGCGCGCGCGCGCGCGCGACAGACAGAGAGAGAGACGCGACTTTTCTGGAGCAAAGGCGTTCGATAAGATGACACACGCTGACAGGTTCTGCAAAGAGCGGACGCTCCGCCGATCAGTCTGTTTGCAGTGTGAGTCACATCGGATTCCAAAGACAGGTCACAGTGACTCTGCTTGTCATCTGCTTTGTGAAGGTCAGGAGAAAGCAGGGAGGGGGGGGCAGAGAGGAGAGAGCAGGGCACAGGCAGATCAACCCCTCCAGGCGGGTGTCGGTCACCCTTTCTGCGGGGGCCCAGGGCACCCTGTGTAATTACTCGCTGTTTTGACATCTGAGGCTCTCGCCACACGTGTAGCCAGCACTTCATTAATCGTCACTCGTGAAAGTCACCTCTCCCCCCGACTCGGAAAAGGTTTACCTTTCTTCTCTGACAATTTGCCGATTTGCCCCGATTGGCAGTGTGTACTTCCTTCCTGTCAGGAAAGGGGTGCCGGGAAAAGGGGACAAGGCAGTCCAGCGGAGGAGCCCCCATACCGGACTGGGGACCCCAGAGATCCCTGAAACAGACCTCTTCGTGGAAGAGAAGGCCAGGACGCCTATTCAGATAGACACTCAAGACACACCTGAAGGCAACGTCCAAGGCAGTCCTGTGTCACTCTCACCCTGTGCCTTTGCTGCGGCAGGACCGAGTGTGAGTGGAGGGGGTGGGGGACAGGGCAGGAGTGAGAGCAGAGAGGCACCCCGGGGCCTCCTGTGAAGACAAAGGCCAGCAGGGTGCACGCCCTTTACAACCAGCTACCCACGGTGCTGTTCTGAGCAGAGGGCACGCTTTCAGCCCTGAGAAACATGATAATAAACACAGTCCCAAATACACACACACACACACCTCCCCTTGGTCAATCAACAGCCATTCCTTAAGAGAGCTAGTGTATTCTAATAGGCAGGGTGGTTTTTGAGTAAATTTCTTAGTAAATGCAAATTCAACATGACTGGTTTCAAAAATAAAAATAAAAACAAATACACAACAATAGATAGTCCCCGCATTTCAAATGTCCAAGTTGTGTACTACCTGTCGTTAGGACCCAACCCCCATAAAGCCTATTATAATAAACTAGAATACCAAACAAGGGCTGCTTTATGGTAGGCATCAAACCAACATTGCTAGTCTTATCACATTATCGTGCTGAAAATATTTCAGTGCCTCTGGAAGTGTTTCTTTAATGTTTTATGCATTAAAAAGGCACACTATGCACTAAGATAATAAATATTTGACTAACTGATGTGGGCTACAAATTATACCTGTTTTGGCAGACTGAGGAATGAAATCTGTTTGTAGTTCAGAACTGTGTGCATTGCAAATATGCTACCTAAGGCTTTAAGCCACCGGTGATGGCTTCCAGGAGTGTCAGCCTTGCCAAGGTTGTGACAAATAGCAGGTCTGGACCTCCCGTACACACGATGAGAATCTGCGGAGCAATTGTTGCGGCCATTCCCTCCGTCCCTTCTGCCTGACTCATCCAGGAGCCAGAGGACAGCAAAGGGCAGAAGGTGACAGGAGAAGGCGAGAACTAAAACTTCAACCTAGAGCTGTCACCCCTAAAATTCAGGTCAAGCATTTGCTGTGACCCCAAGATTCATTCTTCCCTTCTTCTGAATGTCCTGAAGCAGGCAGTTGGGACTGGTTATGTGTGCCCTAGATTTAGAGACCAGCTGCTGGTGGTGCAGCAGGTTAAGCCCTGGGCTGCTAACCTAACCTCGAGGTAGACGCTTCAAACCCCACCAGTTGCTCCCAGGGAGAAAGATAAGGTTGTCTGCTCCCATGAAGACGTATAGCCTCAGAAATCCTACAGAGCAGCGCTACTCTGTCTTCCAGAGTAACTATGGGTTGGAATTGACTCTTGACAGTGGGTAGATTTACACATTCACACACACACACACACACACACACACACACCCCGCTTCTTACCAAACAAAAAGACCCATTGCCAACAAATCCAGGCCATTCTCATTGACAGTGGTCCTACAGCTCACACCTTCTTGCAGACTCATTTTTATCACCTTATGAGGTTTTTGAGTAGCTAGTTGATCTGGACACAAATGCATACTAAAGAAAAAGTGGGGGGTGGGGTGGAGCGAAGACTATACCCAGGTAGAGTCCCTCTTATGAACTACATCTATCTTACTAATTAGAAGTCAGACCTTAATTCGAGGATTTGGGAAGCTATGTTCCCACAGCGCGTAAATGATAAAGAGTAAGTCAATTGTATGAAAAAGCTAAACAACAACAACAAAAAAATCGGTACCCACACAAACCATTTCCAATACCACATCTCGTTTCCTGGCATATTAATGTACAGGCTGCTGCTTTGCACACTTGCATCCTGAAAGCATTCAAACACTCCCAAGACTACTCATTTCAAAAGCCAGGAGCTTCAAGCACTCCTCTGATCACCATGACCTGTTTTGCACTTTGGAAAGGCAGGGTTTGGGTTGAAATAATCTGGGGGGTAGTAGCCCGTGGTTGCTCACATCTGGATTAGGTATTTAAAAAAAATTTTTTTTAATCCGATAACATCATGGTGATGAACGGCAGAACGCCTCATCTGCATATAAATAGACCTAATCAGAAATGCAAATTGCAATCAGGAGACCTTTTTAAAGGCTGTGAGCGCTGCGTGACTGTGCAGCTAAGAACAGGCCAGCACTTGTATTGTGGAACGGGCTCAAGTGCTCCCAGCCGCCCTGCACCCTTCTGCCTTTCACCGAGAATCGAGAATCGGGAAAGGTACAAATCATCTGGCAACCCACAGCTAGGTCCGGACGGAGCCCCCTGATAGCTTTGTCTTGCAGAGCTAGACCCGAGAGCTGGCCAGCACCAACTTGATTCCCAGGAAAGACAAACAACTACAGTAAAATAAATATTCAATCTGCACTTTATATAACCAATTCTCTCCTACAAACCCCTGATAAATGCATACATTACAAAATGGATTTGCATTTAAATACTCTCCAAATAGACTTCTGTCAGCACAGTTCCCCCTGGGGACAGAAATGAAGGGGGTGGGAATGGGTAAAACACATGATGTAACATTTTTTTTTTGAGTGGGTTGGAGGGGACACAAATATGTGATAGACATTGTTTAACTCCAGAATTTTCCTGACTACTCAAGAAAGAGTCAAACTGGGAGGAGGGGATGACCCATGTGATTACACAGCAAAAGAAAACACCGGTACTTGGATGAATTCATCAAAAATTGCATTTGAGCAAAACATTTAAAAGATGAACCGTTCAGGGGAAGAAAAACGGATTACTGAAAATATGAAATCATTTTAACATACTTATTTGGAGTCGGTAATCTTCTAGAAACATCCTCCCCACCAAAAAGAAAAGAAAGAAATACATTTTACTGCCAAGTTTTCTCAGGTTAGGAGAGAAACTGAACTATTCATTGTTTCTTTAACCAGGTTGGGGCCAAGAAGAAGCAATGGGTTAAGAGCGCCATCTAGTGTCCTACCTTGGAATCTTAAAGAGCGTTTTCACAGGATGCATGTCAAAGAGGGGAGGGTCTCCATCCCCAAGTTCAATGGCTGTGATCCCCAAGGACCAGACGTCACAGCGAGCGTCATAGGAGGAGTCATACTGCTGTTCACAAGCAATGACCTATCAGACAAAAACAGAACAGAACACGTCAACCCCATTGCCACCTGAGGTGTCCTAAAAGGCCATTGGTTGATCCTAGTCCCCTTTCTTTGTTCCCTCAGCTACTGGATATGGAACTTGATTAATAAGCTATTTGTCTTGTTGACCTAATTTGTGTGTGAATGATTTATCATCCGATATGCCTGTTAAATGTGTGTCAGCTCAATTCCGTACGCATACATTGGGTCACCTATGTGCCCAAAACAGCGCAGGAAAGGTAGGAGGGTGACTAACACCGCACCTGCCCTCCCATCCCTCCCCAGGCACTGAATTAAATAGTGAGGAGCAACTGCTCACAACGATGCGTGACTTCTTGGCAAAGTCCCTGTGTTAGTTTGGGTAGACTAGAGAAACAAATCCAGGGAGACTCGTGTGTATAAGAAAGAGCTTTATATTCAAGAGCAATTGAATATTGAGAAAACGTCCCAGCCCAGTCCAGATCAAGTCCATAAGTCCGGCATTAGCCCATCTGTCTGATACCAATCTATAAAGTCCTCTTCGGACTCACAAAATACATGCAATGATGCCGAATGCAGGAGGATTACAGGCCAGTGGCGTTGTAAGCATCTCAGTGCTGGCAGGGGTCTCCACATGGCTTCTTCGGCTCCAGAGCTCTGGATACATCAGGGTAAGTCCATGTGTCTTCTCCAGCTCCCAGGGCTTAGCGCCATGTGTCTTGTCAGTAGAGCATCTCTCAGGGAGGGAACAAGTGAGCAGAGAGCATCTCCCGCCTCCAAGAAGGAAAATACAGGAGTTCCCAGAATCCTCAGGAGAAGGCATGCCCACACAGAGGCCTCATTGGCTGTGACCTGATGGACAGACTAGACTCCACCCCTTCACTGTTAATCCTCTCAAGTCCCAAATTGACACCAGATAAGTACCTACCACAGTCCCCGCGTGCCGTCAAGTCATCAGAAAAGATGCGGGAAAACGGATGGGGTTAATATAAAGCAGGCCACATACACCCTCCCCTTCCTTCTCTCCAGGAGCATCTTCCCCCTCCTCAAACCGCAAGACTGGCTTGTATTTCAGCAGCACTTGCCACTTGGGCTGCCCTGGTGGTCGCTGGCCCACCAGGGTAGGAAACCAGAGGATAACCCCGAGTGGGCCATGCTTTTGCAGTGTGTGGAGCCTGGGAGGAACCTTTGTGGGGAACCTTTCAGGTAGGCAGGAGAACCCCCTTGCACCCTCTGATGATCGGGAGAAGGCAGGAGTCCGGCGGAGGTTCTGGAGAGACTGTTGTTAACTGAGTCCACTCTGGCTCGTGGCAACCTTCTGTGTGACATGACAAAACATTGCCTGGGCCCGGGTCGCCTCCATTGAAGCTCCTTGTTGAAGACACTGTGTCCATCAGTTGATCTAACCCATTGATGCGTCCCAAATAAGCGAGACAAAGTCTCACCACGCTCCCTCCTGAGGAACAGTCAAGGTATCCCTCTTCCGAGAGCGACCTCTTCATTCTTCTGCAAGTCCAACCACGCTCACTGACATCCCGGCGATTCTGACGCACCGAGATGGAATATAGCAGGGTAGAACCGCCCCTGTGGGCTTCCAAGACTGTAACTCTTCACAGAAGTAGAAAGCCCCTCTTTCTACCACCTGGAAATCCAAAGGATATTAAATATTCACCAATGCCACAATTCAAATGCTTCGATTCTTTTTCTGTCTTCTCTTTTTCATTGCCCAGCTTTGCCTATAAAGTAACTGCAAAGATCACACAGGAATAAAGCCCAATTCACTGCTATCAAGTCCATCCTGACCCAGCTTTCTCCCTGAGAGGCTGGTGCTTTGGAACTGCTGACCTTTCAGTTAGCAGCCCAGTGAGTGCCCACGACTCCACCAGGACGCTCCGACACAGGGTCCCAAAGCCTCACACTCACTGCCATTGAGTCGGTTCTGAATCACAGTGACCTGGTGAACAGAGGCCCTTGTTTGACCTTAAAATAGTCTTCTGGACCAAGGGTGGCCTATGTCTACAAGCGGGTGAGAAGCATCTTGGTCCAGCAATGCATCTGTCCAGAGCCCAGAGTCCAGAGTGCGTGAGAATGACACCCTAAGGCAGTGGTTCTCACCCTTCCTCAGGCCGCGACCCTTTCAGACAGTGCCTCATGCTGTGGTGATCCCCCAACCATACCATTATTCTCGTTGCTACCTCATCACTGTCGTTTTGCTATTGTGATGAATTTGGCAACCCCTGTGAGAGGGTTGTTCGACCCCCAAAGGGGTCGCGACCCACAGGTTGAGAACTGCTGCTCTGAGGTCTTTGCCTTTTACTCCACGTTGTGATGAAACCCCAGGCCGTGTTGACTGGAGGGGGAGACGATCTCGCTCGTAGGTAACACGATATTCAGCTGGGGGCTGAGGTGAGAACACGTGGGCGCGGGACACGAAGAAACAAAACAAAAAGAAGTCAAACCAGAGGAGAGGTAGAGAGTCGTAACTGTGGACGTGGTGAGAAATAATCAACTTCTAGATATAATTTTGACAGTAGAAACAACGAGGATGGTGGCTCGGATGTCTACAAGATGCGAAAGGAAAGGAATTGAGGACAACTTCCAAAGTCTGAGCTGAGTAGAGGACCGGAGTGGTCACTTGACGTACATGAAGGCTGATGTGTCGATGAGACTTCCAAATGGAGAAGTTGGCTTTCGCCACACGGGTTAGACGTCTGACCGACAGAATTATAAGCTGATAAACATGTGTTGTTTAGGGCCATTGGGTTTGTGGCCGTTTGTTATCCGCGTGATGGAGAACAGATCCACCTGTGCTCTCCCCTGTTTGTTGTTCTTCAGTGGTCTGGCAACACATGCCTACCATTGCCTTCACCTCTCCCCCCACCGTCACCCCCACCCCAGGCTTTTGCTCCCCTAATTACATTCTATCCTCTCTTCTTGTTTCGGAACAGGATCATGGGGGGTGGGGGAGTTCCATGAAAAAAGGATCCTGTCCTATTTTTAACACATTATTTTCAAGTGTGCTATCAAACTGAAATACAAATCATCCAATTTCAGAAGCAGAAGCCATTTCATTGCCCCCTGAAGACCTTACTTTCATGGTCTCGAGCAGGTGAGAAATGATACTATTTTTAAAGATCTCCCAAGAAGGCTGTTCAACACCTTCCCTTTCAGAAATGACATTTTTGAGAGTGTGGGACAAACATCATTTTAGACCCATCAATCAGCACGGAGTTCATCCTTTTTATACACAACATGCTGGTGTCCCCCGGGAAGGAAAGACAATTAGACTCCATTCTGCGCCAACAGTCAGTTGATAAATAAAATGAGCCTATAATAATTAAATGACAACAGTTATGTCCTAAGACAACGTGTGCTAAAGTGTCCAATAAAGGACACGGGCTCCGGATGCTCAGGAATTCAGAGGAAGATCTTGTCTGGCTGAGGCAGGCTGTGAAAGGTGTCTAGTGAGCATTGCCAACAACTTCCTGGACGAACTTCATATTGCCTTCTCAAGGAGATGCAGGAGGCAATTCCAAGAACCCATCCAAATGTGGGAATGATGATATCCTGGCATTTCTCAGGTGCTGTCTTAAAATATTCAAAACATTTCTCTGGTTTCAACTATTCTTTACAAGCAAACATGATCCTCGGCTCTGTCTGATTAATAGCGAAGCATCCCTTGGCCAAATTCTTCTCTTCCCAAAACTCAGCTCATAATGTGACAGAAATTCCCTAAGCTCAGACTTCCAAGAAAATGTATAGGAGAGCATGCTAAAATCTAATCATTCACAAACAGCAATGTGATACCAGTAGCCAGGTAGAGTATGAGGACCTGGAGAGAAAAGCTTAATCATCAATAATTCTATAAGGTAGGCACTAGCCCTACTGGCATAGTGGGCTATGCACTGAGCTACTAACTGAAAGGTCCATTGTTCAAAGCCACCAACCACCCCTTGGGAGAACAATGAGGCTATCTGCTCCTGTGAAGATTTTTTTAAGTCTCAGGAACCCCAGGAGACACTTCTGGTGCTTCCTCTAGGGTTGCTATGAGTTGGAAGGAATTCCATTGCGTTGATGGCCGTGAGTAAGAAGCACTATGAAAACTTTAAGGTTAACAATCTTACTCAGGACCACAGAGCCTTAGTCATTGTCGGGATCAGAACTGCTACTTGTAAACAGATGGATAAGAAAACACATTGCAGTATGAGCCGCTAAGGGCTCCAATAAAGATCCTATTAAGAAATGGTTTAATCAGTATCCGCTCTTAACATTTTGACCAAACTAAGCAAGTTCTTTGAGGTTCTGTCACCTAAATCCATCTTCTCAGAGAAAACCTGGGCACAGGTGGCATCTCCCTATCAGGACTGGTCCTGCGTAGGAGCGAAGAGCCCTGCGCTCAGCTGTGCATGCCGTGGCCCTCTGAGACGAAGCACCCTAACTGAAGGTCAGCACCTCTTGTGATCGGGCTCCCTGTCTACTCAACGCCAAAGCCGGCAACGATTTCCTTAGGAGAGAAAGAATGTCATTCTCCATAGGTCAACATTCTCCTGGTGTTCCAAGTCAGGATGCTTGGGGGTGTCGATTTTCTGTGTTTCCTTGCCCTCCGGAGAAGGTGACCTTCCAGAGAAGGAGCTCACCGAATCAGCTGTTAGGATGTTCCACTAAGAAAAGAGAGGGGCATTGGGCAAGTAAGTGTATTGGTTTCTCAGGTCAGTAAGGGATGGAGAGAGAAGACAGGCACAAGACCTTGGACCCTCACTCAAGCAGTCCTCTCCTATCACAGCCACCCCGTCCACCTCTCCCTCTGCCAGCCCAAAGCAAGTGAACTCTTCTTACCTTGAGTCTTTGCTTTGGTTGGAGGAGTGGGAAGGATGCTGGTGGCAGTGGAATGAGGAGGCTAGCACAAGCGGGTGGGAGAGGTCAATGGCAGACTTGAAGGTTCTGAGAGTGATTTCATATGGGAGGTCAGGGATAGCAATGCCCCAAAGAAAGCTGGCATTTGGA